CATTTGGACGATGCAATGATAGACATCGGTGTAAAGGTGAATGCGATTGGACTACGTCAAGTTTAGCTATGCAATACGTAAACAACCATTATTTCTAAGTATCATTTGGCAAATGGTCATAGATTAGTGGCTCCGAAGGCTTGAATAAGGAAAGGAAAAGTAGGAATAGTAAATAAACTGTATTCTTTTGGTGGTAGTGAGTGCATCATTAGCTTTTCTAAAAGTCTTCACTTTATATCCTCCTAAAGAATCGGGCTTATGACGTCTTTGCCAAGATAAGTTAGTTAACGAACTAGTTTTCCTCATAGAGGGTGGTATGCTAGTTTTAATTATTCCGATTCCACAACGACACAGTCTGTTTGGAAGACTAGTCGCCATTGAAATAACACTGTAATATGGTTAAAGGAGGTATTTGCTGCAACCCACTGCAGCTTTGAACTACAAATTCTTGTATTAAAACGATGTGCTTGGCTTGTTCACAGCTTCGTGAAATAAATGTGACTATGGAATTGAGGTTTGACAGTAGCGTTCACAAAGTTTTTCAACTGTACGACATTTCAATTAGCTAGACATCCAACCTCAGGTTTCCTGTCAGACAGAGTAGTATATACTCTGCTTACCATAATGAATGTTTTACATTGTGGGGATTTTGCTGTCACCTTTCTTGCTGTGGTGGAAGTATCTTGATAACTTGGGTTCGAACTTCCTGGGTTTTGGAAAACTGAGTGTTGCCAAATGCCAGAATACGTGAAATGTGGAGTAAAACCTGCTCATCATTTATCTAATTCTTGGAAACTCATGGCTGTGGATGCTAGTTGACCACCGAGTGGGTAGCACAATCCAACAACTATCCTGTGTAGTTTATTATGTCAGTGAGAATTCATGAGAGAAAAAGAAATGGCCTAAGCAATAATTTCAAAACTCCTAAGTGGGTGTTCAAATCCTCAGTGGTGTTACCATGAAAAGAAAGGACTATGGAAAGTCCATCTAGAATACTTTACAGTGGGTGACTAAGGTGCCATTTCAATTCACAAACTCAATTAGAGAGAAACTTTAAACATTGAAAGAGTAATTCAATGCATTCAGGGTGAAATAAACTAGTCAATTACACACTATGCTTTACTCTGAACTATAATTATTTTACAGTATAGAATTCTCAGTTAACTCATTGTACAACATTTTTCTGATATCTGTTAACAACGGTCTTGGTTTACTACATAAAACCAAGAATAACCGGATTATTGAAATGCTTAATGACTTCAGGGTCATGATAAATGTTTTCCATTACAAAGTTAATTGGTGTAACTATTTCTCACATCCTTTTCTTCCTGCAGTACACGTTAAATAAGGTGTGGTTGAGTTTTAATATGCAGTGCGTGGTGTACCACTCGGTCTACTAAATGTTTTTTGAAATCCTAAGCAATACAGCATATTACTTTTTCTAGAGTCCAGGAAAGAATAAGGAGTAAAAACAAGTAAGTGTAGGTAAAACACGATAATAAATACAACGTTGGTGTAGAGGTTGATTTATGCAAAAAAGCTGGAGTTCCCTGATGAAAGCGGTCGAGTCAATGATGTTCAAAAAGTTGAGAATTGATGCGATGTACTTTTTACTTGATGTACCTTACAACTTGGAGGAAACTCTGTTAGTGCTTCTTGAGTTACCACCACCCTGTACTCAACAGACAATCTACTGAAAAATATTAGTCTTGCTCTATCATCCTGTCACTTCATATCTTCTATTACCTTAGTTTCATTCGTTTGACCCCATTCTCTTCTTAATCCTCAAATAAAATGATTTGGCTGGTTAGTAAATGTGTGAACAGATTGTTCGGAATGTATGGCTAAAATACGTTACATTTCCGAAATGGACTCCGTCTTCTCACTACATCATTCTCATTATTTTTTACAAATGTACAACTGAATTAGTGTTTTTGCATTATCCCGTCGTTCAGTGGACTGAATAAATCTATTGTTATATGTGCTCCTCTATGGATGCCTCGATATTGCCTGCATTTCATTCATATATTCATGATAGATAATGACTGCCAGCGGAATCCGGAAACAGTCCGAAAAAGGACAAAACGAGCGTTATGGACTCCACCACTAGCCACTATCTGTCATTGTTACAACTGAATTCCCTGCACTCATGTTACCGTTGTCAACTAACCTAAGTAGATTCATTATCAAAATTCACTGGAGAAATATTTCCCACAAACAATCATTATTTCAACACATTCCATACATGTGCACACTTATGTATTGTTATTTTACCAGCTAATTTAGTAATCTTTCTCAGACAACTGTACATAACTTGATTTCTTTTTCACTTCAACACCTTTGTCAACATAGTACTCAGGCCTATAGGGCAGGCTGTGAAAGAGCTTTCGATAAAAAGAGACCTAGATCACAATGAAAATGCTGATTTAGATGCAGATAAATCTTCTGGCTTGTAAAAGTATTGCTAAGACAATGCAAGACAGTGTTATCATTTTGACTGGAAGTAGATTACACATTTAAGACGCTTCTTCGGACGAATTGTGTATCTAAGTGAGGTCAAGTCAGAAATGTCTGCTCTTCTTGGGGATAACAGCCCTTAGGAAGGAAGTGATCGCTGTGCCATCATGTACTGTGCGATGACAATTTTCAAATGTACTCCTTCTCAGTTAGGAACCATCGTTTGTCAGTGGACAAAGCCTTAGATAAAAAAATCGAATATTCTATCTTCGCTTAAAGTATAACTGCACTTTGTTATGCCTCCAGTCTATCATAATACAAATATCAAAGTTAATGAAAGGCAAACTTAATCGCTAGAAGCTGAAAGTGCAAACAAGATAACAGTTGGTTATCCAACCTCTCATCAGCTTTCACAACCACTTTCAGCTACACTTGAGATGATGCACAATGCAAAGCAACTGGCTCCGTTCATTTTTTGAAACCCACATTAAAATCAGTCAGAAGTCAAGTCAAAGATGAAAAGCATTCGGAAACTTCTGCTACATTTGCTGTGATACTGCGATAGCTGTTTTCCTATCTGCTTATTCGTCTTGCTACACTGAATAGATACATTGCTTGTTTTGCTCGTTTTAAACCTCTGTTGTATCTTGCTGTAACCTCAACGCCACTTCTTATCCTTGTAGTGACAGGATGTGGCATCAGTTTTATATACATACATGTGCGGACCCTTGAACAGCAACCTTTGGATTCCACTCGTAATAGTACCTCGGTTTCTCTGTGAATGGAAAAGGTGGTTAGATAACGAAGGTGTACTGTGACTTCGAATATACACACAAAATACAAGGGTTCATATACATTTTAAATGCTCTTGACTATTTCCAGGCCTTTCTAGATTTGAATGTCCTATTGGTTTTCGTTCCTCCAACCAATATGATATTTACACACGTGCTTTCTCTCGAAACTTCGGTGCAACATGACTGATTACAAAATGCTTTAGGGTGATACGGCTCCTATTGAAGATTTTGTCGATATTACTCAACACTATAAAAGTTAGGTTCTATCACTTCAAGAAGAATAATTAGATTGTGATGAAAGTGTTAAAAATATCACGCGACAATTTGGTTAATATTGGTGCCAGGAAGCCATTTGGAACTGGAGACCGGAATCTTCGGTTAATAAAGCTCAGTACTGAAGTTGGAGCGAAACGTGTGTGTGTGTGTTCATTTGCATACTGAACAATCAATGACTTGTCATTCAATTCACAACTTTGTTTACTTCAACCTTGAGCTTTTTATTTAGCAGTATTTTCCACTGTCACCTGCAGATGTCACTTCGCTGTACTGATGCAAAATTTGTCAACTTGAACTGACAAGCAAGTATATCAGGTTGAATGGCACATATGACTACCTACAGCTTGGAAGTCCTTTCGTGTTATTTGGCCTCGAAGCAGGTCTAATGTGAGAGAAAGTGCGACATATATTTGCCTCCATCTCCCACTCAGCATCTAACAATATGGATCCAAGCTGCAAACGACTTGTATCAAGTGCATTTCAATTTCAACAAGGCTATATCTCAAAAGCATTGGTATGTGCCTATACATTATATACATGACGAATGTGTCTCTATTTGTGTGACTTGGTTGTATATTTCCTTACTCTAGCATATTTCTAACTCAGTGTGCTTTTGTTCTCATCACGAATAGAATAAACAACCAATACTTACAAACTGAATGAAGTGGAATATCGAATTCGTTCTGATGGCGTTAATCTATATTGCTGTGGACAGCAACACCTGAACAGATATTCACTTGGATTACGTGATAATGTGGAAGCTCGCAGATTCCCCAAATCGTCAGTCTGGTTTCTTTTGGTCTCCGAAGCTTTAAGCATAAGAATTTATGGTAAAATGAACGTTTATCAAGAGTAACGGGGCTTTGAAAAGAGGAATCAAACATGTCGACTGTTTGTAACGGAAATTTTGAATTTTGTGCGACGTTGGTGCCACCACTGGTGAAAAAAGGTATGACTAAAAACGATCTAAACTTTAACACTCTGTATATGCTGAAAATTGGTATTTTCTTGCTCATTTCATAACTTGTGAAATCTTCTGATGTTTTTAGTCAAATTTACTGACCCCTCTTCCATAGCAATCAGGTCCCGTACAATATTGCACCTTTTCCAACATATATCAATGTGATGATGCCTGCAAAATGGCGTCTCTCATGTTAAACTATTAATATGAGGATAAAACATTTATTTCAAAATGTGAAAGACAATGATCAACTATAAAGCTTTTTGTCATCACTAACCACCATTCAATGCATGCATAGTTAACACATAATATAAATCTAAGGTGTGAGCAAAACGTAGAAGAAAACCAACAGGAAGATAAGTTATACTGTGAAATAAGGAGACAACTGAAAATGTTCACTTTTATCTTTAGTCTCACAGATTATTTCTGGACAATAACACCAGTGATTTCATCTAGTTGTTTTGTCTTCCTGAAACGAAACTGCATCTCATCCTGTTCACTGGCATACACACATTCCCATGTTGCCACTTTTCAAGGGGAAAGATGATAAGACAAGCGCATAATAAATGAGTTGTAAAGAAAATAGAAGTCATTAGGTGATAGCAACGAAGATAACACAACCGTCTTCCCTAAATCTGACCCTAAAATCCTCAAATTTACAGAAAAATATTTGACAGTTTATTAGTTTCCTCCCAGTTTGCATATTTCTCCCCCTCTCCGGAATTTCTTTCTCAGTCTTATCAAATCTATGCGTATATCTGTCCGTTTCTATTTGTGTCTGCAAAGGCTGATTGCCAAGGTTGATGTTTCGGCTGAATATAATCAACATGATTATCAATGACGAAATGAACTGAACTAATTCGTCTATTGTATCATAATTCTTCTGTTTAAAACAAAACTTTGTTAATAGATTGGAGTGGATAATTCTTTTAAATAAATCATTTCCCAAATACAGGTCATCGGTGAATGCACGTGTAAGTGTGCAACCACAGATGTATGCTCAGAGAAGCGATAGGTTTTCAGTTCGGCGATTATACCAACTAATCGAGCGTAACAACAATTTAAGAATGGACTCATTAAAAAATGGAGTAATTCGTCAAACAAAACAAAAGTCAAGCTAAAACAAACTCCATTTCGAGTTTATTTTTATGGATTTGTGGACCCCATCTGACCAAGAAGTCAGTCAAAAAGCTGTGAATAAACGACAGAACTGAAGAAACTTTGATTATCCTTTTCTCTCAAATGCAAAATAACTTTGACAAACTGCCAACGTCTAAGATAACTGGAAAAATATTGTCTGAGTGATTAACGTCTATTCAAATTCCAATAGACACAGCATTTATAGACGAGCTATAATTTGGTCAACAATTGTTTCTGAAACGAAAGACCATAGAACCGGCTTTTGAAAGGCTGCGTCACCCATTCGTCTCGAAGCCTTTTTTCTCTAATCCGACTAGTTATTGTAGAACAACTTTCATTTCATCAAGTATTAGTAAACCGTATTTCAAGTATGATTTTCCAGGAAAAAGCATTTTTAATAGAGAAGCTATTTTCCTTTTTACTTGTCGCTCCTCAAAGCTTATGAGATGAAAGAAAATACAATAACACTCCATAATTATAGTCGGTTAGTCGTCTATTATGTGCTGATTATAAAGTTTATTATCCAAATTTCCGTTAACCACTCAACTGAGAAACAGATGACCAGTTAAAATAAATGTGGTTCCATATTTGTATTCCTCGTTATGAATTAAAATCCAGTCGACTGATATGTTCGGAGGCAATTAATGGAATGGTAACTGTCATCATTCAACGTTATTTGAAGGACTGCAGCAGAGAGAAGGGAAACAGTTAAGTGTCTTCATAGAAGTATGAAACAATCTCATGGAATGTGTCATCAGATTCATGAATGACTGCGACATTCAAATCATTCCAAGCCAGTTTGTACAAGCAATAACATACCGGGAACAGTAAGTTCTGCTTACTGATACAATGACAAAATCTGAAGTGTCCAATAAACGTGAGAATCCTAAAAGTGCTATCAGAATAACCGATGTGAGTGAATGGGATAAAAATCGATCGAAGTAAAGTCGCGAATACACAACGAACCTTTCAGTGGTATGAAGGATGGTGAAGTTTAGGCGAAAACTAATTCCTCATTATTTTGAAACAGTTAGTCCCTTTTATGGATTTGGATGATGTAATTAGAAGATGTAGATTATCTGAACAATGATGTATGTGCGATACACACCTCGAACAACCTGATAGCACACCTACTTGTTAAGGGATTATATGTGAAAACTGGAAGTGGAGAGAGAACGAATGTAACATAGTGGGATTCAACAATAAGGAAGATGATGAAAGAAAAAAGTGGTAATATTTGAAGACAACCTTGATAATGCGATAAGATAAGCATTACCAGGTTAGGCTTAGCGTAAGAACAAACTGATTTCGCACACAAAATTTGTTTGTGGCTAGCTCCTCAACAAACTTAGGTATAACGCCCCTGACAGTTTCTGGACAAAACTGTAAAGGCTGTTTAATACCAACCCTGCGAAATTTATCAATGATATGTTTTACTATGAATAATGGCTTTTCTGCCAGCTGCGCTTATCGATGTTTGTGAATCCAGCTGCTTTTGTAGCCATTCTGGCACATATTAATTGTTGATATTTCAAGTTGAAACACAATAAATTAGTAAGAATTATCGAAAATGACTACAGGGTTAGCATTTGTAATCGAACCAATCACATGGTACTCTCAGGTTGTGTAACTTGTTTCCTCAACTAAAAGTGTTGCATTTTAAATGCTTATTCCACCGAAAATCTAGGAAATATTTAATTTCAAGTTGTTATTCATCGTAGACTGACATCAGTTGGAGGAACAAAGGAAACCTGGCAGCACTGGGCAGCTGTTCCGTTCAGTATGGGACTCCTCAGCTAACAGAAGTTGGAAATATGGAGCATTGGATTCTGACCCAGTGGCTCAATGGTAACGCGCTGGCCGCGGAACTTGAAGGTCGCGGGTTCGATCCCTGCTGGTGGGGTCATGGGTGCGCACTGCTGAAGAGTCCCATACTTGGACGAAACAACTGTCCAGTGCTGCCAGGTTTCCTTTGTTCCTCCAACTGATGTTAGTCTACGATGAATAACAACTTGAAATAATTCCAAATCTCCACAACTCCCTCAAAATATTTAATTATTTTCTGTCGACAATTCTGACGAAAGCTTCCCGTGAACTTGACAACAAACCAGACTTTTCTAGGTGAAACCGTAAATCACAATGATGCGTCGTTAGTCTGGAAGCTCACCAATGCAGTTCAGGTTGATGAATACCATGTAATTAGAGCTAGTCATAAAATAACCTCGAATCTAGGATTATAAGCTTAGTGGCACTATTCATCGACTGATATATGTAACGTCGATGGAGCATATATCTTTCTGAACTTCTAATCCTACACTGCTCATCGCTGGAGTAAAAATGTTACACTCGGCTATTCGAATACACATCGATCTGTTCGATAAGAATATTCGTCTTGTTCATTTTCCACAAGATAAGTTTAGAAAGAAATCTTCCGAAGTGTGGTAACTGTATCCAGGAAATATCAGCGTTTTGGCACCTTGAAACAGACTCGCCTAATTTATCAACTTCGTACATACTTCCTTGAGACATTTGGAATTACTTGATGTACTCTACTTTTTCTTGGAAATGAGATGTCAGAGCTGCACAGCAGCCAGACTCTGTCACACCATTGTGAAATGAGGAAACTCAATGTGGAAATGGTAGCAAGCTAAGGGAAATAAAACTCGTGTAGAAACCTATGACCATTAAGGTCGATAAATATTCTATCTAAATATTCATTCAACATGAAGACGCAACACTTTCATCTAAGGTGAGTGTGAATGCGATGATCTAGCATGACAAAAGAATGTTCATGATCAAATGCCAAGGCTATGCAAGCACCGAACAATCATAAACACATCTGGGCCTTCCATTTGCTGATCCAGTTTTCCCTTATCACTTACCATTTGAATTTGTTGCATTTCTTCTCGAAGAGCTATCATATCCTTAGTTGCATCCATTTGTGTACGAGCCTCATTGAGTAGTATATTATATCTAGGAAAAGATAGGAATCAATAAATGAAAACGATATATTCTAAGGTTATCTATCATGGTATTCTAGAAACAAGTTATTCCATATAGCACATTTACAAGCTGAAGCAAAATGACCTCATTGACGACTGTAAATTGTGTAAACTAATTTAGAACTTTCCCCTTATATATAGTTTACTCATTCAGTATGACAGGAATGAATGTGAACTTTTAATACAAGTGTAAGACATGGGCAGCCCTGTTGAGTATCTTACGTAGTCTCTGATGGTCCTTCCTTATACGGTAGCATAATAAAGGCCTTGAATTCATTTCCACTTGTATCATCGTTACTATTCACATTCATATTACTGCTATGATTTCCTTTCTTATGTGATCTTACGAATTTATTCACTAAATGTCGAGAATAATGATCAACTGACAGTGTTTAATTTACATGTTCCAGTTCCTCCTTATGTCTTTACACTGATTAATGAGTTTTCTAGCCCTATTATTTAGACGGATATTCGACTAAATCCACCCTAACTGACTTTGGATGAGATGACCAGAAGTCTAGATACCTATAAGAAGGTGTTGATTTCCTGTAGACAGTAGTATCTAAACCACCATCTATTCTCGTCTTACTTTGCAATCTAACATAGCTAATCCCCTTGTTCGTTTTCAACGTTGTAAGTGAACTGCATTGAACCTGCTAATGGGCTTATACATGTGAAGAATCTGTCAATATGTTTCTATTTCAACACACTAAATATGTCATCCATATGTCACCACCAAATCTTATGTGTAGGACTAAACGTTTGTAAACCTGAGTGTTCCCAAATATCCATAAACACATGTACTTCAGTTGAGGATATTGGTGACCTTTCGATTTGTCCACATATTTCTTCTTGAAACTTGGAAACTATGGAGGTCAGGCACAACATGATTTCATCAACTAATTTTAGTCCTATAATACAGAAAAAACTCGACTGTCACCATTCATGCATTAACACATAAACACAAACCGGGTGGGATGAAACCACTGTACTCTAGTCCAATATCGTTAGATGGAGAGAGGGGTTGGTCATTATATATTTGTTCTTTGAATCAACACCCAACACAATGGGAATGATGCAACGCCTATACCATAGATGTGGGAAGTTTTACTACCACTAAAACGAAGGATATACGGTTTTGTGGTTGTAAAAATCAGATGTTGGAAGCTATGGGATTATAGTGATATGACTTTGAGCAATAATTTACTCTCGAAACACCCTCGAGTAAAGAATATTATATCACTGTGTGTCGTACCAAATAAACAAACCAAATGTGGAATTCTCTCATTACTTCTATATGAAATGAAGCAATCTCAACTCTTCAGTTGAAAATCATATTTTATGTTTCAACTCTGTTAGTATAATCATTTCGCTGTCATAAGGGTTGACGAGAAACTACTATTAAGGTCTTTTGCGATTAAGTAAATAGTCACATTTTTCAAGTGGGATGTGCTAATTCTAAATCACTTGCACAAAAATTTCCTTCAAGTGAATTCTCGTTATTAACAAACTTGACACAGATCGATACACATTCACATACAAACTCGTAAGATATCTGTACAAGTCACCTCACCTCATCAGATACAGATAAATGAGAACATCCACAAGATGTCAATTTATTACTCAAGATAAGTGTGCATAGTAATTGGGAATTGTTAACGATTACAAATATCTTCATATGACTACTCAATGTATTGCTAACTCAAATAAACCTTTTCCTCTTCACTATGATACACCTCAGTTGATACCCTTTCACTTCACTGTCTCATAAATTCCACAACACTCAATAACTACTTGACATTAATAATAAATAACATCAATGAACACTAGTAAACAATTTTTTTGCTAACCCATATAACGATAGTTTACTCGTGTGTCAAAGCTGACCTGCTGAAAACAGCATCAGTTGGTTCACATCGAATGACCTGATCAGAAGTTTTCTTCACGGGGAAGAGTGTTTGCCTATGTATGTGTGCGTGTGTCTGTGCACAGAACATCGATATACGTTTGTACACACGTAAAGAAAACAGTGTGGATTGTACAAACTCGACATTATTCTAATCATAAAAATTTAATTGTGAAGAAAGTAATAAAATAGAATGAAGCATGAGGTAATGTAGAACACTTCATCTCTTCTACAACCAAGTTACCAGTAAAAGAGGTTGGCAAGGGAAAGTGTTAGAAAGAGTAGAGACAATTGTTGTTACTGTATTACCAACAACTTTTCTCATAACCATCAGTTTCACACAAGCATACATATGTGCGAATGAGCACCGACACAAATAAAAGATGAAATATGAAACATTAAAAGGATTCAATCTTTAAGAGAGATGTAAGCAAAAGAGATTGAGTAGGGGTTTGAGAAGTTAACGAAGACACAAAGCGAAGCGTAAGAAAAGATGTACCCAATGTTTTGCGATGAAATTTCAAAACAAAAGGCGAGACACCATTGTTTATAAAATAATAGAAAAGAATAAATCAGAATAACAGACCTATGATTAAATGATACATTCGCTCCAGCGTATAGTTTATTTGTCTTCGTATTAATTCTGACATAAAGTTGTGGGTAAGGTGTTCAATATCCACTGAAAATAGTTCAACCTGATCATTCAATAACAAAAAACAAGCCACATTTTTGTGACAGAAAGCACCAAGATTTTTTCTTATGGCACTAACAAGTTCAAAGGTACTCCGTCGCAGGTATGTTTGAATATCCTTTAATTAATTCTCTGATCCGAAAAGACACATTTAATGCAAACAAACTTCGCAATATCACTAAGTCACAAGTTGCCTAGTCATTCATGCACTAACAGATTCTACGGAGTTGTTACTCTTCAGCAGTGATAAATACATGTCACTGATGTTCTCTAGTCAACTGGATTCTTCATCAGTCTTTTGTTTGACTTTGATATGAAAGTAGACGACACTCATTAGCCTTTCTAAATAAACTCGAATTGTGATTGATCACTGTTGTAGCTGTTATAGAGTCACTAATCTACAATTGTCTTCCCTACCTGCTCTTCTGTCATGACGAAACCATAGTAGTTCTTTTGTTATTTGTTTGATTCATTATATTATTCTTGGCGGCCTGCTTAAATTTTGGGCCACCAAAAATATTCCATCGAGTTGCTCCCTCTTGCTTCTTTTAACCACTGACTAATCTCAAAGCATACTCTCACGCATTCTAAAAATCTCTTCAACATATCGTCAGCCAGTTTAGCTGCAAGACTATGAGAAAGTATCAGAGTAGACGGCAGTTGGTCGTCTAACTCACAACAGTGCATCATATAGCTATTACAGGAACAAGTAGCTGGAACAGCAACTTTTCATACTGAATGACTGAACTTCAACAACCAAAATTACGTGCACTTTTCGATCCTACGCACGTGCAACAACATGCAAACTAGACGATGACCAAAAAACTACTGGTTGTTGTGCATTACTACCTAGCATACTGCTATTATTAACATCACTTAACTGTCATGTTTTTTTAACTGAAAATATTGTACAAGAAGTTAATTTGTTGAAATATCACACTCAGAACTCCAAAAAGTACTAGAAGTTACTGCCTGAAATCAAGTGATTATAATCATTATTATTACTGTCACACAGTAAAAACAGTATTATTTACGGGACGATCTCTCCAGTAGAATTCATTGTTCATCATCATATCCGCTCGACAAACCATCCATAAGCCACAGCTAACTCCAACACCAACCTTAGGAAGCCGATTCAGTAAGAAGAGTATCTTTTGAGTATGTACAGCACCGTAATGGTAATCATCCATAATAATTTCTTTCTAGCATGCGCCTACTTCAAGGATATGGAGAAACTATCCAACTTGTCGCCCACTGGCGTCAGACCAACTGTGAAAGAAGATAAATCACATCATGACAGGCCACTGTTCGGTAAGATTGTCGAAGCATTGCTGCTCATCCTGGATTACCTGCCTACTTGGAATTTGATTATGTAGCTGTATGAACTACTGATCTCCGCTTTCATGAGCATAACAAACAAACAGTAGTAAATTCCAGCATTACTGAACTGGAGGATTATAATATCAGGTGCGTGTTTAGTGTGGAGATAGAGGAGCATGATGAAACTTGATATAATATTCGGTCTGCTTTAGAAGCAGTGATAAAGATAGCTAGTCATCTACAACAGAAGTTTAGCAAATGCCAGTTGACTTCTGCGATCATATTATGTGTCAAGTGACTGATGCAAGAAGACTCACTGCAACTGTCTCTGACCGTAATGAGGATCGCAAGTACCTGAAATGCAGATCGTGCAACTTTGATAAGTGAAATTGTCTAAAAGGAATTTCTCCTCCCTGTTACGCTTCTCTTCTTCCACTTAACATGGTAGTCATCAGCTCGTCGTAAGTTTCCAATGTAGATACCGTTGAGGCCCTTTGGGTTATAATCACGACTTGGTGTGTGAATATTTCTCACGAACACCATTTTTAAATTGTATCTGAATTCTACAGAATATACATATGTATATTTAAGTAGGGTTAGCCAACAATTCGCACAGGTTGATTCATCTCTAAGGACTGAACACGGTCGAACAATGCCGACTGATTTGACTGGTCTATCACATTTCTTGCCGTTCGATTCAGCCTTCATGCTCGTAGTGCTAATAGACATATCAACAATGCTCAGAAAGTTTTCCCCAAAGTGAGGTTCAGTGGAGCTGTAGAAATACCTTTCACCTCGGAATGTTAATCTTACAAACACTTAATTTAAAACTGTCGTGGCCACTATCATTACCTGACTACAATAAATTGGTGAGATCTATTCGAAACACAATGGAATCGGTCTATTTAGTAACCAATTCACAGTTCAGATTAGATCATATGGTGAGAAGACAGAGATCGTAAGTGGCGAGTACGACAAATTAGTTTGTCGCAACTTAACACTTTTCTCTTCTACTGCTTAATGAGCAAATGTCACTTTTAATTATTTCTTAAACGATTTGAAGGTGACATCGAGATGGAAATAAAGCAAATGTTTTCATCTCTCTGAAGAGTATTACTTTTTGAGTGTTTGGGTAAAATATCTTTGTCTCACTGTCTGCCTATCGGTCTGCAATGCAGATTAACTTTTCTCTGATATCTCAATACACATAAAATAGGCATGTTTTGTATCGTCACAGTTTTAACCAACGTTATCTTCACCAAAATCTTTTCTAAGAGTTAACTTTTAAAAGTGATCAAGTGGGAAGTGAAGTGGTTTTTCTTTCTTAAGAAGATGAAAAGACTAGTTTGAGTTTTAGCTCAACATCTTCGTCCTTAACTTCATCTCACCAAATCTTGTCGTTTTCGTTTTAGCATTATAACTACTAATTTTCAGTGTTCAGTGTATTCATCTTTACTTAAATCAGAAAGTGGTGATTGGTGTTAGACCGTGCGTTGTTCAATGTGAATGTCGTAAGTGAATAAATTAGGTCTACTGGTTGACAATGTAAGTTGATCATGGTGGACATTAACAGCCGAGTATTGTCAAGTCTCACCGGATGCACAAAATCGAAAATAGAATAGCCCCCATTTCAGATAGTAGCCTGTTTGACAGATGTTTCTATTCTTTATCAGAAAATGGCAAAACTGCATAGTTAATCAGGAATAAATCCCTGTTTCAACAATATAAGATGAAATAGAGAACACAGGCATTGCAGCTGGTTAGTAAATTGTATATACGTGATATACAAAAGAAAATCTTAGAAAGCGATTGGGCAGTGAAAAGACTTGTCTACAAACATTTCTATTTCTGAATAAGAATTACTACGGTATCCAATCAAAGTCCACCAACAGACAAAACAACTCAGAATAAAGAGGGAGGAATAAATCGTTAGTTGTATGCTCTTTTTAATCACAAATGAAGAACCCTAACATGATAGTGACACAATGGACGTCACCTTAGCGTCAATATTAATGTGGAACAGTTAACTTATTATCAATAACAACTGATCACTTTTCTACTATCCAACAGTTAATCCCTAGTATCCTAATTATTACACACAAGCTACAAATCTAGGCTATTCTGTTCATTCCATTTTCCTTTATTATGTCTGGTCATAATCACAGATCATTTTCAACCCTCAACCTGATGTAAAATCACATTCAAACAGTTTTGTATTTACTACCTATATATGAGTTCAGCCAACATTTGGAAACGCTGACGTTTGCATTTGTTCATAATTTTAAATATATATTTCACACATTTATGCTTATCTCACAAACCTTACTACAAATATGTCCATGAATATGGTCCTGAATAGCTACTAAGAAGGGGAATTTCTTTTGAGAAATTCTGCTTTGAATCGATTTTGAAACCTTCATAAAGCAGTCTGTCACAACTCAACATATCCTAACACCTTACATAATCTGTTCCATAAAGTTTAAAATAGCTTGATTAATCTTCACTGATCATGATAGTTTTCATTGCCCGATGATGATGGTCGCATTTCAGTGCATTACATTCCTTACTTATTGGTTATCTCATGTTGACTGCACTGACATAGCCATCGAAAAATTCTTAAACCTGTGAATGTAGACTGACAGAGTTGCCACTGTAAATATTAAAGTATGCACTGGCAAGAAAAACAATACTTTACAGAGTTAAACAGTGAATCGCCAAGGCAATATATTTGAATTTATTGCAGCTCCAACCTTACGGAATTAAAACAAATACGGTTAAATGACTAATCAATAGTTTTTCAATCCGTATCACCTTTGTTCCGTCATCAGCATTTACACAGACCAAACTTTGATGCATTCCATATATGTTGTGGTGAAATTTCAAGTACAAATGCCTAGAAGAGTCACCATTTATACTCTGTACATTCCGTTCTCTGATAGCAGACACAAAAGTGATTCAAAGCAGAAACTGTACTGTGAATTGACATTAGCGTTATCCGCATCTAACTAGAAATCTTGTATATATTCGTGTTTGACAAGAAACTGATTGGAAAATTGAATACTTACTAGCAGTTGATAGCTCATCAGTCTGTTTTGTTGCGTTGATAGCATATTTTCAAATGAATGAGCATCACGAAAGAACGTCTGAATACAGATAAGAAAACAGGAAGGAAATTAAACAAAGATTAATGGCAGATCATTTTATTATAAAAATGCAGCTGATATGATTCTGAAGTGGAAGACAACGGAAAATATTGCTGAGTCAACGGTATAAACACACTTCTACAATCTCACACTGTTAATGCTCAGTTCATAGTTGATCACTTTTTCCCAGAATTACTTACTTTTTCACAGGTCAAGAAGCACATGTTTTCACTAGATGCTCACCAGTACTCTATAAAATATCATCGAACCCACTTATGCTGCAAAACATTAAACATCATGGGGAAATATAGTTTGGAGATCCTATTAGGTTATTCAGAACACGATTATTACGAGAGTACAACTGTCTTAAAGTTCCCTTCAGACTCTACTGTTAGCAATCCATGAAAATAAGTGAAATACAATAACTAATGAAAGGCGAATTTGTCCTGACACCACAGTCGAAAGTGGAATAAAACCTTTGAGACAAATCTTATCTAAAAACAGATATCCGAAAAGATTCATCGACAAGCACTGCTACTGCTTCAAAAAAAGCTGGTGTACATCAACCTACCATCTACGGGAGACGATGTACACGATAAAATCAAACGAAGGTTCAACTGATCTAAAGATAATCTTACCAGGCTGAAAACGAATGTTGCTTAGTACTATGAAAACGACACTACGACACTTGTAACTGCAGATGCCAATTTTATTATGTTTATGGAACCAAATAAATAGATTACACAGAGATGTGTATATCTAGTCGTATGACTGACTGCTTGCAGGAATGGTTAAAGCGTTGAGAAGTAAAAATTCCGAAAATCAGTGCGACCAAACATCTCAACTGAGAGCATGATGTTGACGCTATCAGGTGGCTTACAGTAGATATTAAACAACGGAATAAGAAACTGCTTGCAATCATAGAGGTCTGTGAGATTCAGGCTCACAAACCAGCATTCTGTGTAACATTCTAACGCACTTTAACGTCACTGGTTGATCAATTTAGTACTTTTAGCAAATCTTTTGCCCTTGTCTTATTCCAGTATTCTTCACTAACTTGTTTCATTACATGAACAGATTAATTGCTCCTATTCAATTCAAATATGGTTATCAATCACTTTATTCACGATGACATAAATGAACTCTAAACCATAATGTTTTGCAGTCACTTTTCACGACTTTCAACTGCTCCACACATCCACCTATCATTATTTTCATTGTTTCATGTTGCTAAGCCTCACTGTTGTATTTGTGGTATTTAGTTGTCCATTTTTCCATATATTACATTACAGTATATATAATCCATTTTTATCACCTCTTTAAGATAACAGTGCTGGGAAACCCAAACTGTCTCAAACTTCATATTATCTCAGCTGCCTAGCACGCCAATTGAGTGGATCTGTCGAAAAACTTTCACTGAAGCAAAAATTTTCGTCAGCTTATCAAGCGAACCAATAGTGACATAGCAAACCAAGCATGTACATTAACAGTGATGGTCACTCCCATGTGTCTGACATAGTAGGAAGACATGTTGTTAACGATGAAGATGATAATTGTTTGGTGTTACCCCGAGCTTTGACACTAGTTCTTGGACGTTTCATCACGAAGTTAATGGTGCTCAATTCGCCTCTCCTGGCATTGAAACGTTTACGGAAAGGGTTCACAGCACGAAACACACCAAATAATTATCAACTTCAGTGTGAATTTATGAGTTCAGCAGCTCCTGTAGATCTGGTTACACAGGCCGTTCTCAGAAGGATTTACCCGCACACACTCTTGAACATTTACTTGTTTTGTTAGAAAAAGAAATGAAAAAATGCATCAGCATTGAAGTTCTTTTGCACTTACTATATAGTGGATATCGAATCAAACTAGATCACACCTTTTCTGTGACACGTCATATTCTTTGCAATCCCTCGAAAGGGACATGACTATACCTATTATCTGTGACCGAATCCGAAGAAATAAACACGTAAAAGCTTAATCTGTGTTCAAAAGAGATATGTGCAACCACCCTATCTATCTTGGTCCAGAATAGGGTCAACACAAGTTTATGAACTTTACCACAAAATCGATATTTTAACCTCCTACTGCATTTTGTTTGATCTCCGCATTTCTCCTAGTGAATATTGTTTCCATATATTTTCAGTTTCATGAACTTCATATTCTCCATTCCGTCCTCTGAGCTAATATCTAAACTCAAAGAATACCAAATCATCATCATCCTCATTCTCAACTCCAAATCTCTTCTTTGTGGAGTGTTAGACAGAGTAATAATTTGAGGGGACGATTGTTTTCATACAGTGAAATTATTTCAAAGTAAAGGCAGTCTGTATTATAGGTAAACAGAGATCAGATCATATAGATGGAGATTTTCTCAAGTGGAACAGTACTCAATCTAGTCGTGCAACTAAATCATTATGAACAGAACAATCATAATGTGGGGAGGCGAAATCTAGAGATATTCGTGTATCTGGAGTGTGAATGCGTGTGTACTTAGTGAGGATCAAATAGCCACTATGTGGCAATGACCAACATATGAAAGAGGGTGAAAAGTCATGTGAATACAATAAGCAAATTACAATACAACAAATATGAAGCGTAACTTAAGCACTGAAAATGACTACTGGTGACATTACGAATGAACAAGGGCATGAAACTAAAAACGTATGAAAATAATTGTTAGTTTGTCAATTAAATGAGATAGAAGAAATAAAAGAATTCGATTGTGAGCCAAGTTGGACCAAGTGAATATACATATTTCTTTTGAAGACAAAGACTAGGATTTCATGTGTTGACTCCTACGGTTTTTATGGTGGATAGGAAACGCGTCGTGCCTCTTTAGCTATATAATGACAACTCGCTCCTGAGTGAACAAGCACACCCCTAAGATACTTTCATCTAAGCAAAATTCTATCATCATATCTAGATGTTGACTATTCATATCATGACATTTTGTTCATAGTTTTCATTGCAGAGTGAACACTAGATTGATTGTTATCCCACCTCCAAAAGGTTTACATTCATCTAACTCAATTTCTATTTACTAATAACACTAACTGTCTCAATACTGAAAAGATTTTACGGCATGCATTACGTTGGCTATCATATTTCACCTATTTTCGTTGGTTCATAACTGTATAGTCTGAAGAGGAAATTATTGCAAACAGCTGTCTACGCAAATTATCCTTGTTCTGGCATAGAAATATTTGGAGCCTTGACATTTTTTCTCCTCCATTAAACTTTTATTCTTATGTGAGGGATATGCTGTGGCATTATTAGAACACAAAACAGAAAACGGACAGTTGACTACGCAACACACACATTTGGCGTTGCATCATCAGTCGCAAATCCTTGGTGAATATTTATTTGCACTAATAAATTCTTTCCATGATCCTCAAAGTGCTATAAATCAGTAAAGGTTTCCTGTATGAGGGATGAAATTGCTGTTCACTCATTTCTGTGATCCTGTATGTATTGGAAAATATATTCCTGGACATCATATCATATCAGGTAGTTTGGTGAATAGAGTTAACTGTTAGATGTTCATGGTTAATCGAAAAGAAGAGCTAGATATAGGTTTTGCACTTATTCACACTCATCGACAAGATGCATATGTGGCTATGAAGGAATTGGAGTTCCTTTCATGACTGGGTAGTACATCATTCAGTGTTGTAGTAAAAACCTTTACGTTTCGGCTATGATCAACTGCCTGTGAGTGAATTATGTATATATCGCAGGATATCTCGTTATTCTGTCAAATCTCAAGTGCACTCCACTGACCGAAGTCTATCGATAAAATCTGCAATTTATTTTACTAAGCTCAACTACTTCACACTGAGGTGCACTTTGATGTTAGATTATGAGAATCAATATTAGCATGCTCTAGAACACTCTTCTCATGGTAGTGCCCCTCTTGGAACCTTCAATTCAACTAACAATGTATCAAGGAACACAGCAGTGATTACTAGATAAAGTAGGTCTTTAATCAATATTAGGTTAGTGATCCAAACTATTTTGAAAGAAGACATCCTTAGGGTTTAAATGTTGCCCGTAGTTTCATACTCAGTTTGTTCTAACGTGTGAGTGAAACATATAGTCGTGGTCAGTTAGGAAATAGATCATTCCGTTACAAGTCATCGTATATATTAACGTCTTTGCTATAAGTGACCATTTTGTTGAACAGACGTTTAAACTTTAAAAAATACTTCTGCAAATGATGCAGTGAAAAGACAGAGCTCAGGTGTAAATCCACCACATAGGGAGGTACAAGAGTTCATAGTTTATCCCTACTAGGTTTGGTCATTCACACCAAGTGAAATCAAAGGTCTCCGTACAGCTGCATTCACTACTTTCATTCTGCCTCCAAAATCTTACATTTACTAAGCCATTTAATCTACCGGTCAACTACGACTGATTACTCTGTCTAATAATATGGATAACCATGGGGTGTTTCATTTGTGTACCGCAATCTTACAACAGGCTACTTAGTTAACAGCTGAATTCAGAAAGAATTTCTTGTTATCTATCCCCATAAATCAATGAGGATTTGCGATCGAAATCCTAATTAAATTCGCATAACAACATAAAAGCCCTAACTAATGTTTGAATAATTAGGCAGTGTGAGATGTTTGCCAGAAGCAAATAGAAGAGTCATTTATTGGGCTACTTTGACAAATAAGGTACACAGATGAAGTCCTATTACTTAGCACAACTGAAGCTGATATGTGTTGTTTGCGGTTGACTTTTGGACGACACAATATAAGCAAGTTGTATGGTAACTTAGAATCAATTGAAGTGGCTCTCAGTCCGTTTCATCTAGCTAAGATAAGGAAAATGTATTGTTACTACTGTTCTGAATATAACGCCAGTTAAAAACAGAATGCAAGCGTGTAGTGGGCTATTGCATTGACACCTGCTGCCGTAATTTTGCTACCTTCGGAAAAGTATCTCCAGAGGAATGACGATATCTTCCTACTGAATAGCTAGAATCTTCGAATTACTTACATGAGAACTGATATTTACTTTCATCATGCGGTAGGAAGCATCGTGGTGCATCGTGATGCTAAATCCCATAACTTGGTTACATCACTGAAGGCCTACAATGTTCGCTTCATCTTCTGCACCAAAAATGAGAACAAGCTTACAGAAAAGTAAGTTTAGTAAGTTAATATTTTGCCAGACAGAACAAATGTATCAATTCTCGTTCACCTAAAAAATTGAATGAAGCCGAAAACGGAATATTCTACGTTCTGAATCGATACAGACAGTCATAATTGGAAACGTTTAGAAATCACCATGTCATCAGATGCAATGAAATATGAGAGTCGCTGGTATCTAATTTTAAAGTTTCATTTGGTTGAACTCACCTGAATTTGAACATCCTGTTTGAGGAGCTTTTGTTGATATGTCCACATCTGCATTAACTCAGACCATCCGTTTTCTAATCTGTCTAGACGTTGATCTAATTGTACATAGTGTGTATCTGTTTCCCCTGCTGTGATACATCGTCCATAACTGATTAAATCGGCAAATTCCTCTTTACGTGCCAAAATCTGTTCACCTAATTCTTTGTGTAGATCAAGTTCGATTTTTGCTTCTTCGACAGATTGAGGTATTTGGTGTGTAGCTACATTCATTTCAATATTGCGCAACCATAACTGGTTGTCATCCAGGCCCTTAACCGAATGGAGAAAAATATGATATGCATGTGCTGATGGAGAATGAAGGGTTTGAATAGTGTTTCTGTAGGGAAATCAACCAGAAGAAGATAAAAGCATTTGAACGATTCTAAATAGAAAATTTAATCGTCTTGTAACATGACAAGCAGTCACATGGTCATACTGCTGGAAAACCCAAATGAATCAAATTCATGTTTTCAGTCTAATTGGGAGTAAAGTGTGAGGATTTATTCAACAGAAAGTCGTAGATAACTCAGATTCCATGGTTCTTGCCATTCACTAAAAAGCAACGTCTGCTAACCTACAATGTACTCCCTTGGTTCTACATATGCTCTAATTGATGCTGAAGTAACAATTTTTAACTTCATACCCATTTTGTCATGACTTTTGATTTCTAAGATTCAATTTTGCTATACATGGAAAGTTGAAAAAAGATTAGGACGCTATTAACAAAATGAGACTACATACTGAAACATATAATTATATGAATTACAGACTAAATTTTTTTCTAATAGGAGGCGTACACGAAATTTAAATGTTTCTAATCTCAAGTTGTTTGTATACAAGCTGTAGGGATCGAAAACAATAAGCTTATTGTGATATTGAAAGGTTCTCTGACGACAGGCTATCAAATAAGAAATTCAGTGTTTCGGCTAATCGAATGCCAGTACACACTACCCATAAAATATAATAAAATTACCGCAAAAAAAAAAAATTATGCAAACATAATGTACAAAATCTTCTATAATAATTGCTTCAACTGGTTATCATTATTTTTGCAAGATTTTTCACAGTGCAATCTTTGATATGTACAGATAGAGAGTTATAAGAATTAGTTATTGATTTTACAGATAATTATTATCCTTTATTCTCTCTTCTTGTCTTTAGTTAGCGACTGGTCTGAAGTTGTGTAAGAAGAAATATATAGTAAGTTACATTACTAGCTAATTCACTACCTCTGATTTCCCTTCTTATCATATCAATTGTACATTTAAACTCACCCTTCTTATGTTAAGTTAATGTAGTTTCGTCGATCTGCATCGCTTTCATTTGTTTTAGATACCTGATCATTATAACAACTTTTATCATGAATCTTGCTTTTGGGAGATGTGACCTTTATAATTCAACCCTGGAAACAAATTTCATCTCGTCAAATTCTTTGCATTCCGTCAAATTAACACACTGTACTATCTTTCGATTGTCTGAGATTTTACAACCAATGTAATGTTATCATGTCAGTCGATAATTGTCTCTTGTATGCAGTTAACAGTAACGGTTTCGCACGCAATTGTTTCTTTAAGAGTTTAAATTTCCTTTAATAGAGGTAGAAATCATAACATACAAAGATGAGCTCCTCACTGAAATAGGCTTCAAGAAAGGAGTATTTCTCCGACAGTAGTTGAGAAAAAAAGTAGAACTACTGTGTAAAAATCTCTCTTTCTCTATCTCAGCAAGTCTCTAGTGCTTGAAGAAAAAGTATTTTGTACAGAAGCTTATGAAACTATTCAAAATCAAATAAGATATCAATTTATCAATGTTCAGCACTGGAAAAAACCTGTCTTCTGAATAAATGAAGTAATGCAAGAATGCTTATTACAAATTTTGTTTAAAAGCCTTTGTAATACAAGTCAACTAGAAACAAATATGCATTCAGCGGAAAGTTAACCTACCCACTTCTGACTACCGCTTTCAACTGAAAGAACATCTGCACACTTCCAAACAGTATACATTGATTTTTTGTCAGACCATATGATAGTACTAATGTGAACAAAAGGTTTTTAGAGTACAATACTATGAGTGGTCAGAAAATAGGGATAGATTTCAACAAAGCGAAAGATCTGAAAACCAATGGTCAAATACCAAATATCTCACATGGTATCTGTTAACATTGGCAATGCTTTAATCAAATGCAAGAATTTCTGTCTCTCCTGTGGTTTATTAACCATCGAACAAACTTATATTTTCAGGTTAAATAATTCCATATAGGTGATTTTAAAGAGCGGCATAATCTATCTACTTTAAGTAGATATGTTTAGAGTACTTTATAAAATCTAGCAGTTATTAGGTGAGAACACTGTCAAACGTCAGTGTTTCCGGTTCGAATCCCGTTGTGTTAAATTACATAACTGAGTTATCATCAAGTCGCTAGTCAGTGCATCCTTTGATGAAGATGCACTTCACTCTTGATTCATGAGTTCTCAGCTAACAGGCAGATAATGATTTTTTAAAAAGCTGTTGACCACATCGAAGTTTCACTGTCCAATAATGACTACGTGTTTCGATCGACAAACTGTTGTTCCTTTTGTTTTTATGGACCATTTCATGTGACTATCCTGTAACCGCAACCATTTATGGGGAAGCACATGATATGATTAGCTCACTGAACCAACTGGACACTTTCAGACTGACTCTGCTCTCTAGTAAAACGTGCTCGATAACTCTATCCAGCCTTGCTTACCAGCTACGAAAGAACAGAAATGCATCTTCAGCTCAATAACAGAACACCTTGTGAATCTAGATCTCTCAGCTCCTTTTGAGAACACTTTCAAAATCCTCTACAGGATTTGATCAAGCCAATCAAATGAAGTGAGACTAAGACATTTGAGTCTGGCTGGAGCACTAGCCATCCAGAAGTTCACACCAACAATATGTGTGCAAAAATGTATATTCAACCTTTTACATGACCGTGGTCATCTTGAAACCTTGGCTGTTCTAGATAAATCCTATACTACATAGTTGCATTTGTCTTCTTAATTTCCTTGTTTGCTTTTCCCACTCCAAACCCTCATTCGTATTATCCAACTTCTTTTTCTACTTAATATATTTTGACCCTTGACCGGAAATAACTCTGGAGTTTCCAACCCATTGCGATATATATTCACGTATTTACAGCTAAGTAGATAATTTCGTTAAAAGAAAAAACTTCTCTTCTTTCCAACAGTCCTCCTTGTAGTTTACTATCATCAAATGGGTGTGTTCCGCTGATCCGAGGTGTATTTCCAACAAAAGTGGATGGGCAGCAACCTGAGATCTGTGCCATGAACATTTGAGTGGCTGAAAACGTTTCGGGCTGAATCATTTGAAGAAGTTGAACAAGTTTTTATTCAACAATCGATTACCATTTACTTCAGTGGTCATCAAATTCTAACAGATACTTCCATTAATCTCCTTATGTGCTGTACTATTATATCACCTCCCTAAGATTTGCATGATTCTTTGATCCACAGGGTTGTCTATGGAGTATGCTGACTTCATTTAGTTTCTAATAACCATTCCATACTAACTATATGTTGTTGGATTACCCTTATTAAAATTTTTAAAAATCCTGTGAATTGTTTCATTTTGATAACTTATTTTGGAATACATGTAACAAGCTGAAGAGAAGGTGATGAGATAAAATAAGAAAAATATTTCATGACTGTTGTCCAGAAGAACAGCTATCTATTCAAATCTATCAAAATGTGTTTGTCTTATTTTCCGTCAGACGAACGTCATCCTTACAAACTAAGAAACAGATTGTCTTACGTTGCATGAAGAATGCATCCGACATCGCAAATAGATTACTGAAGATGTTTGGTATCAGTGTAGTTCAAAAGCCTACAAGGTCTTTTCACTCTGCGTGATGGAGGTCAAAAGATACAGTAGCAAAGGAAAACAAGCCAAACGTTATCAATAAAAATAAACCATAGAAACTGTGAGAAGACTACATCGAACAGAGTGACCGCCCTCTTTGCTTCCATCTGGATGAACACCGACTAGCAGTGAAGCGTCGTCATATATCTTCGCTCATATCAATAAATATGGACAAATGTGGACATGATTTTGACTGAGAAAATGTGAAAATCCTGGGTAGAGGAAATACAAAGAATTTTAAGAAGCATGATGTTCAGATCAGCCAGTTATCAACAGACATTGACATTGACCAAATTTATCAACCAATAAGTTCAGAGTTCACGTTGACAAGACAACCAATTGCTCTATTTAATTTGTGATGGGAAAAAGTTGTATGCAGTCGAAACACGTACGGAGACAATATTTTAACAGAAACAAACAATCACATTCAAAACCATCAGGACAAGCTGCTAAACCTCCTACACCTCACTTCTTCTGAAGTTTGTGCAGGTGATTCGGCATAGAATGAAAATGAAAGCTTCATGATTCAATCATCTATCTCAGAGAAGACAACATCTTCACAATCATCCCCCTGAGCTAAAACTGTTCTCCATCATTCATAAAATGTCATTGTATTCTATAAAAATTTATTGTTCCTTCTCTTTTCAAGGTTTCATAAGTGTATGCAACTCATAACTGACATGAGTTCACTGTATTTCCCTCTTCTCGTTTTGTACTCAAATTCAGCAAATGTGAAACTTTCTGATAAGACAAATAACTTATTAAATGATCAACTTCTTATTTCATTTTTCTGGGTAAACATAAGTAAAACATCAGTGTGCTTTTCAATCTGTAGACTTACTTTAATCCACAACTGTTCTTCATTCATCTCATTTAGTAAACGATATACATTTTTGACTGCTGCATTCCATTGACTTGTCTCGAATAAATTCCTCTCAAGGTTTGAATGATACAACATGATATAATTTAAACTATTTGATATATTTATTTGTAGATGACTTATTGGAGCAGTGTTATCATCAAAATGTCTATTCTCTGCATCCTTTATAGTATTTAACAAGTCTTTCACTGATTCTATCCATATCACTAACTGATTCATATCAATTTGAAACTGATCTAAGCATGTATCAACAGGATTAGTTTGATTCATCTCAGTTAAATATTTCAACTGAAGCATTTTACTCTCAAATTTGTGTAGTTGATCATTTAACTGTAACAAGAGATCTAACCAGTCCTGACACAATTTCAAATAATTTTCACGACTTAATAATTTCTCTTGTAATTGTCTATTTCTTTCTAAGATCATATTCCATTGTCGTTTGTATTTATCACACTGACTTTGATTCACTGATGATGTTAAAACCTTCATGAGCTCACGTGGTTTCCTTTGAGTCCAGCTTATTTTAATCAAGTTGAACCAATGGGTGGATGATGAAATCAAAACATACACATAAACTTCTTTTGAAGCACTTAATCCACTTTGTAGATTTGCACTAAGTAATTAGATGTAATTTGTCTGAAAAATATTATGTATATTGACGCCATATTTTTAAGAACAATCTGACCTCACATTAACTTGTTAAATGATTTTATACGAAAAACAGAAATAAAATGAAGCTTAGAAAAGCAAATATAACAGTAAAAGTATGATAATTAAAGAAGGTATAGGATAAAAATGACAGTTTTCGAAACAAATTTTGGTAACAGAATATGATGGATATTAGCAGGGTAAGTTTAGGGTAGGGAAAAATTGTTTTTTAATACATAAAGGGAACTTAAACTAGCCCTTCCCATATTCTCATTAGATTTTCTCCGAATAATAACATAAAATAAAGCCTGTCGTGAGACAAGAACGTGAATTATATTATAAAAGGATCTAAAGTATGTTTGATTGAGATGTGAAACTGTGACACCTGTTAGTCTGTAACAAAACTAACACATATGCACCGCTGGTAAATCAAAGGAAAGTTCATATAGCTGTGTGATATACTGTAGCATAGACAGTGAAGATTCTACTTTAGATCATTCCCAGTTGACTCACATTGTAAGTAGATATGGCCAGATAGCCAGTGAAATTTAAGGTGTATTGAAGCAGTTAGTGTCTGCTACACATTGTAAACAGCCATTTAAGTGATATCAAACTATAATACAGACTAAACCGCAGATGATAAGAATCCCTTAGTATTTAAATATCCCTACTACTTTAAATTGGAAAACCGCGTAAAAGCAAGTGCGTATTTTCGGTAAATTCTTGTCAAACTTTATAGTTGCCTTCATAAATTATTCAGCATGGTCATTTGATGTCAATGTGATTAATGTATTACTTTATCGACATGAAAAAGAGGATAAGAATAAAGGCGATAATGAGAACAACGAAATCTCACAAAGTATGCATAATCTCAAAAGTTAATCATTGTGAATATTATAAGATTTTTCTTTTAATTACAACTATAATATATACCAAATATTGATTCATCATTCTACAACTCTGATCGAGTCAGTAAGTTTATATGTCAATGCAGATCTTTTAACGGTAATCCAAATATTGTACCAAAAGCAATATGGGTGTCAGTTCATACTGTTCTAATCTCTTCTTGCTGGTGTTACAACTTGAATCCCTTATATTTCTAAGTGTTTCTTATTGAAACTAAGTGGAAATAGAACGTATTCATATTAGAATAAAAAAAACTGCTACTATCATCCTAATGATTGGTATATTTTCTAGTGACTGGATTGAAAAATGAAACAAAATATCTGTCTTTTAGCCCCCAGTAGTTCCTCAGTTGAAACCATTTCATGATTAAAAGCCAATTTTACATCAGGGAGAATTATGAAGGGGGATGACTAAATGAGCGTAGAAATGAGTTACATCCATCTTGGTGACTAACAGTGGTATCCAGGACACACGATTTTTCCGATTTGATAGTCGTCGTCTGGATGTGTCCCAACTCTAGTGATTGGTGCTGTTCCCACTGGGACTCGAACCCATAACTAGTCGCTTGAGAAAACGAAGCGTCATCCACTGGAGCCACCTCTTATGCAGCGAGCATCAGTTATTGCTTTGTTACTTGAAATTCCCTGTTGCTGTACAACGGATAATTGACTGACCTCCGCTGATAGATGAGATCCGATAAGGATGCCTCCATACTGCAAGATAGTCAAGATGTTGCATTCATTTTGGTGGTTAGCAGTGGTTTGAGTCCCCTTGGGAACAACATCACTCACTTAAGTGAAGGTACATCCGACTGATGAATTCCAAATGGACGAAACGCACACCCTGGAGTCTACTGTTACTCACCAAGGTGAATATAACATCATGCATATCCAGCAAAATCGAGGCTTCCATATAGTAGACCATCTGACGACAGAGGTCCAGCAGTTTGACCTTGTATAGCAACGGGAAATTATAAGTGTCAAAACGAAAAATGAGTTAGTCAAAACAAAAACTTCATAACAAAACAGACTATAGTACAATCATCTACTGTGGAACACTTCATTTAAGCACTTAAGTTTGTGAATGTGATTTGGTCTTATTATAGTCAGTATCGCTAAACAGTTCTTCTGGTAATATGAACATAAACAGTAACCTGACTGTTTAAACCCACATACCTGGTAATGTAGTATAATTGTCCATATTAAGCCTAATGTAAGCCTTGGATTACCATCAACAATATCTTGTGCACCAACATTTTCCAGGTGTGCACCCTCTTCCGAAAGAAAGTCAAGTGCTCTGGTAATGTTTTCCAGTTGATGAATTCTCATATGACTGTGATTTGTTCTTGCCTAAAATGGAATTCCAAAGAAAGTGGACAACAATAAAAATACCGAATAATAAATCACACGTAAAGAGTTTTAGACTACTATTGCATTTGTAATGATACTTGTAATTGCCCTTTGCTTTACAGGACCGAAATGTCCGACCTCCGCTGGCAGATGGGCTCCTATGCACAAGAGTTGGCTATCGTCCTGCAGTGGCTTAGTGGATAATGCTCTGGTGTTTGAAGTGAAGGGTACTGGGTTCATGCCTCGGCGGGAACAACACCACTAACTCGAGTACAAGTATATCCAGCTGACGAGTTCCAACCAGGAAGAAATGTGTGTCCTGGATTCCTCTGCTAGTCACCAAGATCAATATTACAATTGCATTTCTTCAGTCTTATTTCACAAGTTTGTATGCCTGTATACAGGTGACGAATAAATATGAAAGTATAAAATCATTCTGAATAGTTTTATTCTAGACTCAATGCAAACAGCTTCGGCTCAATTATATGCATTCCTTACAAACTGATAACATCGCAATAGGGATCTCATTTATACCTATCGTCATCGATTTATTTCTATCGGGTGGATAAATCATCACTTTCAACAATGGCATAACCACTACTGAGGTGTATTCGCTTTGCATGCATGATATTCTTAGCATGCGTAAAGCTGAACTTAGGGCTAAAAAATATGCAAATTCATTATACTGATACATGCTTAACCCATTTACTAAATGATTTATCAGATACAAATGGTCGAAAAATTTACTTTGTGTAGAATGAATACTTCATGGTTCCTTAGCTTAGTCTGGCTTTAAGGTATCACCAAGGTATAGCCATGATACTCTAAATCGATAAATAATTTCGAAATAAATACTGTCCTAAATCTAAGTGTGACAGTTAGAAATTATACAATTCTAAAAAGTGTTTGCAGATACTAAACTTAAGGAGGAAAACTTGTAAACTGGTCTACCGTGGAAGAAGCAACATAGTTGAGGTGGCCTCGAACACGCTGAATGACAGATTGAACTATTTGTTATCCTACGTTACTCTGTTTACCTTCATACCAGTTCACTGTTTACCTAAGTACAACTGACCAAAGAACGTGCTTTATTTTTGTAAAACCGAAAGTTCTGCTGTGTACGTGAACCACTCATAGCGCAAACTTTGATATGCTTAAAAGTCAGTCTGAATTACAAATTACTAGACAACTGTTCGAATTTATTTTGCACTCTCTTGCCATCAGCTTCATACAACCTAAATATGAATACAGATAATCACTGCATAACAACAACAAAAAACTATACAAGTAGTATTCTTAGAAGTCAGTTGACATTTTGACAGCAAACCATGAAAAAACCATATGAAAAAACAAACAGCAAGCTCTCGTTAATATCTACTTTCCTTGGGAACTAATGACTTACTTTGCCAAACTCCACAATGTCTTATTTCTCAAGTCCTCAAATTTGCATCTTTGAATTCTTACAGCATTTTTTTTACTTCAAAATATTGCTGAACTCATTACTATTGTTTATGTTGCTATTATAATTTATCTCACCGACTTGTCAAATATTGGTCTGCATAACTTTCCACCTTTTGTACACCCAATTTTTGACTATATATTGAAACATTTCTCTTCCTACCTTACACATTTTGTGATATAGCGGTAATTAGAATTCACGTTTCATGTCTATCTAATTGTCCCTCTACTCAATGTTAGAAAGACACTGAACGTTTCACGACTACAGATTCAGTTGAGAGAACACAACTCTACTAAAATCATTTTCCAAAGCCATAAAGTCCTCCTTACTCTTTGAAAAATACTGGTTTAATAGTCTAGTTCATACAGCAAATTTATTTGTAAACCTTCGCTTAGACCACATGTTCGCGACAATGGCAAGCCACAACCAAATAAATTTATCATATCAGTTTGTCAACTAGAAACTTCAGATACTGACATACTATCGCTTGCTATGTTGTGGATACAATACTGGAATATTTAATATTCTGATATTTCATCTATCTTGAAGTTGAATCTATGAAGATTCGTTGACGCATCCTCCACACTAATCGGTCACCGTAAGGTTACTATACTACCCGGTATTCAATTGACTCAGTTGCATTGATTACATTTCCGTTCTTGACCATTACGATGTATGATGCAACACGAACCAACTCTTTCACGTTGATGCTAATGCTTAGAACACACGCTATCTAGCCAGGAAGCCATAAACCTCTGAAAGTAGGTAGAAGTTTTCAGAAAGTCGATCGATCGTACACGTAACTGCATTATCTGACAAAGTTGTACAAAATGAATGAGTTCATCCTTCTGGAATGCTCCCGAATTTCCATACTATGTTGTTTTAAGTACAAATAGATGAATACTTTGTCTACATTCGACCCTGCAATAAACCTTTTGTCTTATTGCCTTTTCTCTTTCCTAGGAATTGGCATACACGCTAAAGCAATTTTAATGACTATCACATTACAAACTTCCCGTAGATATATGTGCCTGACTGCCATCTTATCCTCCATCTCATTCACTTTTCTTGTGACCAAGCTTCTTATCTGCCATGAGTTCGTATATTCTGATAGAATAATCCCTCCT